CTCCTGGATAGAGTGAATTTAACTGTAGTTGGATGAGAAGTATAAATATATACCATTCTGACACACTATTTGTACACAACCCATTACAGCTGCACACTGTTAGAAAAAATATTTTTTGGAGAAGTCACCTCCCAATAAATGTCATTTTGGAAAATCTAACTGCTCACTTTTACTCAGTACTTTTACTTTTAATACTTAAGTAGATTTTGTGTCAGAAATTTACTTTTGATATTTAAGTACAAAAAATATCAGCTACTTTAAGACTTTTACTCAAGTAATATTTTTAGAGAAGACTTTAACTTTTACCAAAGTATTTTCATGACAAGATACTTGTAGTTTTACTCAAGTATCACTTTGAGGTACTTTATACAACACTGTCTTTTGTAAACTGTAGATTATTTTTGATTGAATTTATATATTTGAGAAAAGGGGGCAGGTATACTAAGATTTTGTCTTCTTCTGCTACCTTTCATTTAATTTATGATTTGTATTTTTGTTGTTTGTTGTTGAATTTATGTTGTTGTTTTTGAAGAAATTAATAAACTAAACAAAAAAAATCACTACATGATACATCTAAACACAGAACTGAGGATTCACGGTATATCAGGATTAACATCAGTATCGGCCTGATAAGTAAAACTAGGCCAATGTTAACGTCTGATATCGACTTCCCACTTTTAAGTTTTGTGTTTCTGTTTCTGGAGGGGAAATGGTTGGTCAGGTGGTATTTGTTGGATCATGATAGTGATGCTGCACAGCCAGGAATAACTAAAGTAGAGCCATGCCAGCCGTCTGGTTGCTTTTTTTTTTTACGGTATCAAAAAAAGACAAGTGTGTTTGTGTGTATATGTATATAAATAAGTTGTGTTTTTGCATAATTTCTGTAAATATCGGTTATTGGCCATAACAGTGATATTACGGTAATATCGATATCGGTTGAAATTTTCATATCGGTGCATCCCTACACAGAATAACTGAGGCATAAATTTATTTGGAGATCAGAAAAATAATTCTTTATTTGCACAGTGAGAAACAAACAAGTTTTAAAAACTTTAAATGATCTATTTTAAATATGGTTATCTCGATAAATGGAGCTCACGGCTCATTTATTTAGCTCAGCTACTGGATTTGTTTACAAAGTTTTCAAGAGCAATGAACTTGAGCAWCTATTACTTGAATTTAAAATACATAAGTGTTTTGAATTTTCATTCAAATGACCAATCAATGATAGTCATCCTTTATTTAGTTGCTCCTTTTAGGGGTTCTCCACTGTGGATCATCTGCATTTAGCCCACCATGCCCCCCACYTTTCATTAGAGAAGAACCCGTCCAGAAGACCTATACAATTTTTTTCTTTTTGATTTTTTATCTGGACTACTGAGATGCATCAGGATATGTTTGATCAAAAACAATGAATTAACAAAAAGAAAAAAGGTCTGGAGTTACATTTTCTTAAAATCTTTCAGCACTGAATGGAGTTGAAAAGCAAAAGAAACATTGGAGAGAAACTGTGTAAAGTCAAGTACAGGCCACCAGATGATTTCAGTTGTGGAAAGCTTTGAGAGAAGAAGGGCCACCCACGAGACTGAGGTCAGACAGTGTGTGTGTGTGTGTGTGTGTGCGTGTGTGTGTGTGTGTGTGTGTGTGTGTGTGTGTGTGTGTGTGTGTGTGTGTGTGTGTGTGTGACTCAGATAGGACACGACCACAATCTCTACCTCTGATTTCCTCCTTCTGTTCTGCTCTAACACCCCCTCTGTTCAAATTATCACCACAGTGAGTCAGGAGACAATAACAYCTTTACTTCACACAGAAGCCATTTCTCTCTTTTTTCCTTTGTCTGACATTTCTTAGGAAAAAAAAACAAAACAAAACAACAGCAGTGAGAAGCTGAACTGACCTTGGTGGTGGGCTGCAGAAGGAAAGGAGCGTAGTGCTTCTCGGCGAACGAGGCCAGGGTCCAGCGGGAGCAGGAGGGCTCCAAGCAGTGGAGGCCCAGCGAGGCCTCTCCGATGTGGGACAGCAGGTCTCGCGTGGAGCTGTTGTTTTCTGGACCGTGGCCGCTRGATGAGGCCGRGTCGCCCTGAGGAGCCGAAGAGGCGCTGGACGTGGGCGGGGCAGCCGAAGGTGCGGGATAAAGGTGAGAGAAAGGGGCGGAGCCTCGAGCCCCCCCGTTCCCTCTGCTGTTATTGTTGTTGCTCAGATTCCCGTGATTGCTGCCGCTGTTGACGTTGTTGTTGTTGTTGTAGAAGTCGTTGCTCCTGGTCGGAGCTGGGTTGATGGGCTGCACTGAGATCTGGGACCTGGGCTCAGCTGTTGTGTAGAAGGCTTGGGTCCGGGGGTCGTACTCGGTCCTGAGCTGCACGGTGGACTGCATGGTGATCTGGGTCTGCTGGGCGAAGCTGTGGCTGCTGTACGAGGGAGGCGGGCTGCTGTAGCTCGGGGGCGGCGTGTGATATGAGGAAGGAGGGGTGCGATATGATGGCGGGGGGCTGTAGCGTCCCGCGTCTGCCCCATCCAGGTACGCCTGAGGCTCAATCTGAATCACACGGTTGGCACACGGACTGTAGAGACAAATATTTTTTCAGTTTTTCAATTCAAAAATTTATTCATTTCATTAAAAAAAAACAAGAAAATACACAAATCAAAATAAAATGAAAGGTAGCAGAAGAAGAATAAATCTTAAAATGTCTGCCCCTTTTATCCCCAGAATATATTCAAACAAACCATAATTTACAAAACAAAGTGATTTATCGTTATATTTTCTCCAAAAACCTCTGATTTTAAAGAACTCAGAATAAAGAGCGCAGCATGCATTACATACATAAACTGAATAAATACAGTTGATTTTTGTTCAGTCAGAACAACACAGGGCAACAGTGAGAGCTGCATCCGTTGGAACTGAAAATCGTCTGTATTTTCTAACACCGCTGCCGTTGGTGAGGATTGTCCGTTCACCCATCGAATGTTTCTTCCTCCCCAGATGCTGGCTGGTTACGGTGACTTCCTGTATCAAACGGGGATGGTAGACGAGCTGCAGAAACGGTACGTGGACGAGCAGACGGGCCTCGCCGTTCAGCTCATCCAGCATCAGAAGTGGGTGGAAGCTTTTAAAGTAAGTCAGAAACAGAATGTGGCTTTAGAAACATCAGGCCTCATGCAAGAACCGTTCATACGAACAGATCTGTTCTTAAGTTGTGCGTACGAGTGATTTAGGAGAATTTGTGGCATTCACCAATTAACGACTAACGACATAAATTGGTTAAATTAAATTAAATTGGCTATCACTGCTGTTGTATAACACTACAATATTAATGTGAAGATCTCAAACTAAAAACCAACTTAAATTATGCATTAATTGAAGTTTACTTTGTCTCCGTACATAACGAGCTTTATAGATTATGTTTTTAATCAAATTTATTTTGTTCAGATTTATTCAGCACATCAGCCTCTCCAAAGTGCCAGACATATTGTGGAGACTGCTCTCCTTCTGAATAAATGAAAACTATGTAACACAGTTGTTTACACTTAAATTAAAAGTATTTGTCTAAAGGAAAACATGAATCTGATTTAGATTTTTATTTCTGTGACTGTATACGACCCACAGGAAACANGTCTTTTAAATATATACATTGATCTGGTATTTTTAAGATCATCTTCCAGACCATTCCACAATCCTACATCCTGGATTAAAGTACATCTTTCTCTCAAGCAAGTAAGAAAATATGGCTTCACAAACATTTCCATCCCCTTAAGATAATAACAAATGTCTCTCTTAACAAAATTTGCCTGAATGTTGGAAGGTAATATGTTTCTGTGAGCCTTGTACACAAACAGTAAAATATTATAGTCAACCAAATCATAGAATTTCAAAATTTTCAATTTGCAAAATAATGTATTTGATGGATGGTGTAATCTTTTTTAGTGATAATTCTTAAGGCTCTTTTTTGTAAAACAAAAATCGGATTTGTAATTGTTTTGCAAGCTTTACCCCAGACGTCAATAAAGTAAATTAAATGTGGAACAGTTATTGAATTGTACAACACAAGCAGAGCTTTAACATTGAATAACTCCCTGGCTTTATACAGTACTCCTGTAGATTTAGATATTTTGGTGCTTAAATAACGTGAGGTCTCCATGTCAGCTTGTCATCAATGATGACACCCAGAAATTTCACCTCACTGACTTTACAGATCTCAATACCATCCACTTTAAATGAGAAATCAACAGTTGTCTTCCTATTACTAAATATCATGTAATTTGTTTTATCCAAATTTAATGGCAATTTGTTTTGTTGAAACCAATTTTGTATTTTCTCATATTCTTTCTGTGCCATCTCAAACATTTTTTCTATATCTTTACCTAAACAAAAAAAATGTTGTATCGTCAGCAAATAAAACACATTTGATAATACAGTGGATAAAGTCAGGCCATAGACGGGTGGAAAGAAAATTTATGTTCAAGTTCAACAAATTCAGTTTCGTGAAACAAAGCCCCGTGTCACATCTGTTAGAAATATTTTCCAGCTTATATCTTTTATCTTTCTCTGCTAACAGCATGAAATATGAAGGTAAAATATAACAACGGAATTAAATAGTGTGAGTACACATCTGTACCACTGCCGAGCCAACGAGCACGCCCAGGCTAGCAGGCAGGCTGCTGAGGATTAATGAAGACTGTGAAAGATAAACACACGAGCGAAACATCCAGGCAGCCACACAGAAAGAGACAACTTCAGCACTAATTAGGTTTTGACTCCGGGGGGGATTAATGTTAAGATACCTCAGAGATAACAGAAGTTATCATCAGATCAAAAGAGCTAAAGAAAACCTCAAACTTCAAACAGGAAAGCCAATAAACTCGTCGAGAAATGAAAGAACCTCTTTGTGTGCGCAAACACACCTGTAGAAGCAGCAGAAGATGTCAAAACGTCGCTCTTCTCGTCGATAGAGATCCATGCTGAGGATGGCGGGGAAGATCAGCAGCACCATGGCAAAGTTAAACACCACCACCACCGCTGCCTGCAAGAAACACAGAGAACGATCAAAAGAAAGGGAAAGGTCAGGTGCATGGACCAGAATCAAATCAACTTTATTTATAAAGAACATTTAAAATTAGAGTTGACCATAGTGCTGCACAATGATCCCAAAATCACTTAAAACACTGCAATAAATATAAAATCAAAAACTATATAACATTAAATATAAAACCAAGTAAATAATGAATGACATCACAGATTACTTTAAAGTGGTTAGGAAAATGCAGTTTATACTCGTAAAATATAGATTAATAAAATAA